TATGTTCAGATGCTATCGTATCTGCTTCTCCACATCGTTTTTTCACGGGAAGAAAAGATTTTCAATACGCGTTCACATCCGTAATTATATTCGGAAAGCTTCCAGCATTCAACCGTGGGATCTCAAATCTCAAATCCAATCTTATTTCGTTATCAAGATTTTTGTAAATAATTAACAACTTTAAATTAGAATTAATTTAATTCGCCAACTTGTGCGAACTTGAACTTTTTTTCCAATTATTGTGGTTATTCTGTAATTTATGAGTATCTAATATCTGTTATTTATTATCTTTTTCTGCCAATAAATTAATGTTACGAATTCTGATACAACTTTCGGCTGCTACTAAAATTAATGAACAAATCGCGTTCTTCGTAAATTTGGCTCGCGGTGATCTGAACTTTTCGACTACCCCGTAAAACAGGCGCTCCTACGAAATACCGCGCCAGTCGGCCGGCCGTTGGTGCGAGAAAGAGTTTAAAAAAAAAAAGGAAAAAGAAAAAAAAACATGAAAAGTGGGGCCGAGGCGATTTCGATTCCTAAGCCCTGCCGACAGAGCCAAACATGTTATTTTCTCGTTCGCGGTGCCCCGATATCCGATCGACCAGCCGGCCCCGATTGGTTCCTCTTGGATTTTAACCCGTCCCACCGCATCCGCGGAGCCGTCCAATCGCCGCGCCGGCTGATAACAGAGGCCATAATTAACGCGATTTGTTAATGAGCGCCGGGACAGACGGCAGAGCGACGACGGCTGAATGAAAACTGCGCGGACGGATTTAGTCGCCGCTCGGCTAGATTCTGGATCGGTGGTTGCGAGATCGTCGCGAGATCATCCTGAACCGTTTATTCGGCTGCATCTCTATAAACCGGAAGTGATTGTGGAAGTATTACGGAATATCCGGCAGGAACTACCGAAATCCGAGATTTGTTGTCACGAAGCGTCGTGATCGATTCACAGACTGAGTGATTGAGTGCAAATCGCGTTAAGACATGGACCAAATAGTTTTCTGATTCTTGATCTCGATAATTCCCGAGAGGATTGGTTTGGCTCAAAATCAAAACCGTAAATCGGTAGGATCGAAATGACGCTCAATGGAGGATATTTGTGAACGACTTCGAGAATATTGCGTGACAAATATTTAGTGACGTATCCCCTGAATCTCGAGACACATCGGCTGATAATAAAAGCTGATATAAAGTCGTTAGAATTTTTTTCCTGATGAAGTGCCTGTAGAATCTGATTAATATAATTTCTATAATTTAGTAATTATATATAATTAATGAAGTAATTATAATAATAAGAACTACAAGAATTTCGATAAAGAGACTTGTATTCGTGTAAGGTGCTCTTTATCTTATATCTACATCTACACAAGATAATCCAGTCGCATCTAGACGCAATTATTCGCACAGATATATTGGATAATTTCAATTAGAGGAAAATCAACTGAAAAAAGTAAGGTGAGTTGCAGCTACACAGAATGCGAGATACGTAAGTTATTTATGTCGCGATGATAAATTTAAATTTCTAAATTTAATTTCAGTTTTGATAAACCCATGATCTGATGATAATTTTCGTCTTTTATTTATAAATCTAAAATATTATAAACTATTAAGTTTCGACGCAATCCGTGCGATAATCATATGATAACGGCATGTATAAACAGCATGTCGCAATGCGTCTGTTATGGATGCGATATCGCATCGCGAGAAATTGATATACTAATGTCGCGACATGGAAACTCACGCCTGAGTGATTTTCCCTGAATAATATTCATAACATAAAACAACTATATCGAATGCACGGATGTCACGCGATAATGCGAATTTCTTGCGAATTATGCGTCAGCAGCCTCCACGTGACTGCTCGCGATCGAGAGATCGAGCGCGACAGCCGCTCTTGTTCATCTCATTATTATACGAACAGCTGCCTGCGATACAATTAATTACACACAAGCTGTTTCTCCTGATGCCGCGCGCAATAATTACGAGAAACGAGCGTATCTCGTAATGCGCCGCGTACTTTTTAGCGCGTTCGTTTAGCGCACCATTCTTAATTTCGCTAACTTCGCGTTTAAGTAGCCAGACGTCGCTTTTCCGACGTGATAGCCTACGTTTTCGTGAAAAAAAAAAAAAAACGCTAGAAAGATAATTGTCGCGTGGCCAATGTTAGTGAGGCGCATTCTAAAACGAAAATATTCCTCTAAGATTGAAAAATTGATCTAAAACTAGACAAATGTCTTTGTTAATCCTTGCAGTATACTAAAGAGTGAGAAGCTATTGTCAAATTATTTCTTACTTCGGACATTCTACATTCCTACATCCCGGAGATTTACGAGGAAATTATATTGCTATGTAGCGAAATTTCAAGGCGTTTTGTTTTAAACGGTTTTATAATTTCTTCGTGCCCTTCGAAACATGCCACATGTGAGTGAAATGTTTAACGGTAATATATGTCCAAAAGTAAAATAGTATAAAATCGGATTCGATGCTAATGCGAGGAGCGGAGCTTTTTTGCGTATATAAATCTCCAAAAGTTCTAATTATTCCGTTGCTACTCGGCCTGGGGCGCAGATGGAAGATTTTCACGCGGCGTGCATCACTTATGGAATGAATCGCAACGCGAAATTACTCCTAGCGAGCGGGCAACGTCGTGGTATGCATCGCATGTCGCACGCCGTATAATTAAGCCGCGATATTTCCACCGAATACAAAACATGCAATTATCTCATCTGGATTACAGTACCGTGTGCTCCCCTAATACCGAAACCTACGTACTTACATTGTATGCGGCTTCGCGGGTAAGATTCCGCGCCGGGCCGGTCGCTGCAATTTTCTGCTCCTTCGTTTCTAGAACGGCGGAGAGAGAGAGAGAGAGAGAGAGAGAGAGAGAGACAGAAAGAACGCGAGATATAATTACGGATCTTACTGGGGACAGCCATTGAAGTTGAGTTAACTGCCAACCGTCGCGAATGCAAAGTGCACGCGTACTTAAGATACGCATATTCTAAGTACGCACGAAACCTTACGTTCGCACATTCCTTAATTAATCCTCTAATTGATTCTCTAATTTATACCAGTCTGACCCTCCTCGTGGCAATCTAAAAGATCTTCATCTTCACGTCATTATGACGATAACGATCAGATATTATTGCAGCGCGTCGTTGATTGAAGAAACGATAGACTTTATTTATAGCAACAATAATTTCATGCGTTATTTATAGCCGTTCGTGGCATCAAAATTTCGATAGAAATTTTGCTGAGAATTAGCGTAGCGCTTTTCTCGCAGTACAATTTAGGCTCGCGCATCAATAGCCCGTGTGAAAAAAAAAATATTAAAAAATTAAAAACCGCTACGGAGAAGAAATACGAGCGGCGCCGTCTTTGCCGTCGTGCGTATTTCTGCGCGTTCGCAGAAGCAGCTGCGCAACACGCGGCTCGCGGGGATCTATTTTAGTCCTTGCCACGAATCGCGCGCCGCACACGAGGACGCCGCGACGAGTTTTTGCGAAAATCTCATATTTCTCGCGGCGTTCCTTTCGTTCTGCGAGCGCCGTCGACATAATTGGCGATTATTCTGCGGCGTTTAAACGCGTGGCGCGCGCGCTCTTCGCCGAGCCTGTCTCGTTTTTTACTCTTCGCGGTTTTTTTTCTTTTTATTAATAAAAGAAGACTTGTTTCTCGTCGCATCATCCCTTCCGGACTCCTGCTAACCACGAAGGAGGATCGCCGGCGATCAATCATCGATGCTTTAATCAGCGAGGCAATGATTTTTTTTTTTTTAATTAATAGCGCGACTTAACGATTTATATTGTAAAATAACGAGGATGAATAATTAGAGTTTTTAAAGAGACACTTGTCTCTTTTAACGACTACTGTGTTCAGTAATTGGATTCTCTGTTTTGTCGAAGTTTTTTTTTTACTTTTTAAATCTATCAATTGTCAATATTACAGTTGCAATTAATAATGTCTGTTACAATATTGTGAGTGAAGCCATTCGCAGTTGACTTGAGATTGAGCTCGTAATTTTGCAATTTGTTTAAACTAATGGTATTCGTTGTCGCGATTAACACCATATCGATGAGACGTGCGCGACATAATGCGAGAGATCTCAAGTCTGTCGATACTCTAGCTGACTCTGTCTACCTACCTGAGAACCTCGTTGTTAAGATCAAAAGAGACGAAAAGAGCGCGATTCTCTCCCGCACGAGCGAATTTACTCGAGATAAACGCCACGCATCATGCACGACGTTCAACACCCGCCTGTTGCGTCGCGCGACGACTACCTTGCTCTACGGTTAAAATTAATTTACGGTTGCCGTAAATTAATTTTAATGATCCACCTGGTTGTGATTTATCACGCGAGATCGCGTACAGTCACTTTGCAAATGATTTAGAAAGAGGTACATGTCCCGAGCAGCGGGAGAACGATCTTTCCATCGGAAGACCTATATATGATCGTAACTTTTTGAGGTCTGAATGCAATTGAGCAAAAATTATTGTAATTTGAAAATGCAGCTATCACGGCTGTAATAAAGCTTCGCGAAGAATTAGACTGTGCTTATACTCTAAACATCTTGTATGAATACATTTTTACGACGTTGAATAACGAGGAGGATTCGTAAGACAATCGCAGAGGAGTCAGTCAGATATATTTTTTAAAAGCGTCTGTTTACCTGCTCTGAGAAAGATTTTTTAACGCGCATTTCCTGAAGAAAAAAAAATTGGACTTTGTCCGACGAAGAAATCTCACGCGTCGATTTCTGAGACCGCGCGCGTCAATGGAGAGGTAAAATGGAAACTAAACGGCCGAGTAATGGCCGTCGCCGTGGCATAAATTACCCGTATTAATACGCTCACGAGCGTCGTATTGTTCCGCGAAATTAATTTCATGCATGTCAAACGTGCGCATATCGCCTTTTAGTCGTGATTACTTAAAAAGGTTCAAACAAGACGTTTGTTTTTTTTTATTCAACTGCAATCCTTTCCTTTTTCTTTTGCAGGATGGTGCTGGTGGTGGGCGGGGTGGTCCTGCAGGAAGAGATTCCTGCGGACAGCAGGTCCTTGTACGCGGCCCATCCGGTGTATCGCGAGAGCGCCGCGCAGCTGCACTCGATGCCGGCGAAGCTCGTGGGCCCGGTGGGCCTCCTCTACGTCCAACAACGAGAAATGGCTGCGACGCTGCCGCACGACAGTAAGTGCAATATGCATCTCGATGCGTCAAGCTGGATCCGAGGATCTTGAGCAAACGCGAATGAACAACTTTTATTTCAATGATATGCGAACGAACGGCGAGCGTTTCTTGCGTTCGCGCTTGTGCTTCTTTCTATTTTTAAATTAGATTGTATCTTTCACTCCTCCCCCTCTCCCACGTTTTCTCATCGAATTACCCTGTCGCTCACAAAAACGTGCAGTGATATGTAAAATGTATGTCAGCTCGTCGGTGTATTCAATTACGTGGGTCCGCTATGATCCAAATGACCGTGAGGATCAGTCATCTCCGCAGGGGAGAGAGAAAAGCTTACAATTAATCTCTTGGAAAAATAATCTCTCGCGGTATCTGACGGAAAGAATATGTCACTGCTACGCAATAGCCACGCGATCTCCATGTTATCTCCTTAAAGCGAATGTTACCGGCTACTTTTGTCGCGATATCGCGGGATTGACGCAATCCGTCAATCTACCAGCTGTGATTACGCTTTAATTACGAGGGTAAAAACAAAAAGAGCCGCGCGAGCCGATAAATCAACGGATGCCGAGCATTATTTTGCGCGTTATCAGGCAGCTGTAAATTACAAGTCCAATTTTTTGGATGGTGCGACTTTCAAAAATAACCGAGAGATTCGTTTATTACGCTGCAACAACGACGGTAAATCGCCTCCTCGGTGACGAGGCAATATCTTTCCACGTGCTAATCTGGATGAATCTGGTAATGTTTTTCGCAATGGTGGCATTCTCTTATCTTTTTCTCGGAATATAATAAATCTTTATCAGCAATCTTTATCGGCAAATAAAAAGTTATCGCTTAAAAAACGACCGTTCCTCTCGTGCGTAACGTAGCGTGATGAGTTTTACGTTAGAGAAAAAAAAAACATGCTAAATCCGCTAAATCAACGACTTGTGCATATGGCTCGTGTATGTCTTTAAAAAGTTATCTGTTTCAATTCTACAACTTTTGCGACGCGTGACAGCGCGGATAAACATTTGAGAAAAGATAGAAGCGAGATACAATCTGATTCGAGAAATAATAAGAAGAATACGAGTGAGAGATTGTTTGTCTTGTAAATGTGAGAGGTTCTCAATATCTTTCTCTGTAAACTAACAATCGACGGAGGTTTATCTTTGAAACGCGCAAAAATTTATCTTATATAATTATGGAAAGTTTCCGCGCCGCGTCTCTCGCCAAACAATCCGCAGCCTCTCCGAAGCGCTCGCTCGAACTGCATGCGTACATAGAATTGCACATGTTGCCCGTTAATACCAATTATTCTTTTTTTTTTGCCCCCTTCACAGAAAACGTGAGCATCCTCGGTTCGGACGACATGACCACATGCATAATCGTCGTCGTCAGGCATTCCGGTGAGTATATTTGAAAGTACAATCGCGCTCATTATAAAATAGCTGCCGGTTGCATATAAATGACCGCTTGCGGCACGACAATGAAAAGAAAAAGAGGTCGGAATAACGCAATGACGAAGCGCGACTGTTTGATCGGTACCGCGTCGTTGGAAAATTTTTAATACGAAACTCACAGAGTCCCGCAGTAGGTACCTATATCACCGATAATCCTCTCTACGTCAAATTTTTAAATGAAATTAAAATAGATTTCTAAGAAATACATGGAAAGCCTTTAAAATTTTTATCCTGTAAGGAAAGTTTAAATCAAAGTTTTGAAAAAATGAGTTATTTGATTAAAAATCAGAAATCTAATGGATGCGAAGATCTTTTCATTTTCAATTAGTTATAATTCTGAAATTGTTACTATTCTGACATAGTTGAGGAAAAATGGATTTTAAGTTAATTTAAAATTTTGGAAGGCCTTTAAAATTTGTATCCTATAAGGAAAGTTTAAGTTTTGAAGTCAAAGTTTTGAAGAAATTATTAGAGTTATTTGATTAAAACTTAAGAATCTAATTGATGCAAAGTTTCATTTTCAGTCAGTTATAATCCTGAAATTACTATTGTTACTATTCTGATATTTTAGTTGAGGAGAAATGGACTTTAAATTAAGCTAAAAAACTTCCAAAATATTGATGAAATTATAAGTATCCCGTTTGGAAGCTAGTTTTCGCGAGAAAAGATTTCAGTACAGAATTTTGAGAATTTACAAGACGAGAAGAAGTAAGTAAAGAATCGTCGAGAGAAAAGAAGATAGGAAATTCAATTGCAACCTGCTTGTCTCGGACTGCAAATTAGTCGCGGAGTTAACGAGCAAAAACTTGTGAAAAATATCGCTAAACCAGAACTGTGACGTCCGTTACCGTCTTCGGGCTTTCCAGTCGCTTTTTATTTCCTTCGACCGGACACACAATAGATTCACTTCTTGTTCGCACGATCATTGACTTCGCCATGATATAACGACTAACGTAACGCGCAAACGCCGTTTCTTTCGAAAAGACGAGCCGCTTAATAGAACCAGTTCCGCCACTCGTGCTCGAGAGAAAAAGTGCTGATTCACATCAGCTTACGATTCACGTCCATATCACGAAGTCGTTTAAATGCCTACCCGCTAATCCATACAACATCGAGTTTAAGAGAAATTCGGGGAAATAATTGTAAATTTATGGTTTACGACGAGCTACTTGTGCAATTTTTCATGACTCGGTTTTCTCAATGTTTATAAAGCCAAGTACAAAGTAGGAACACGTCGCCTGTAATCTCGCATGGACATTAAAAGTTTATTGAAATCGTCACACGTGGCTGTTTTTCAACAAGCGTATTTCATTATTTCGACATTTATATACCAAACATGAATCATACGTTTGTTAAATGAGATTTTCCGAACGATAATAGATTCCCCGTCGCAGGAGCTCACTATATATTGTACTATATTTCTCAACGAAACTATCGGATAAGTTCCCCTTAACTTTCTCCTGCTGAGTTCGCGACAGTGCATCGCGACGCAAGCTGGGTGTCTCCGATCGTCTTAAGGTTGCGCGTGAATAATGGTCGAGGTAGAAAGCGACTGCGAAAGTACGTAATTAAGTAACAGTTCGCGGTATAAAAGTTTCGTCGCGCGCTCTTCCCGTCCATTCCGTCGTTGCTTCGCGTTCGCGCGCGACAATTGGATAAATGATAAAAATTAATTGCTGTAAAAATTAATTGTCGACTTTATTTTTTCAATTAGTAATGTACAGCACTTTATGATGCATCAACCGCATCTTTAAGAATCTATTTTAACATTGCAAGAACATTCACGTGTTTCCAAACGTGTTCCACTACATTTTTATCGTTAAAACGACGATAAATTGCGTCTAACGAACTGTGATCGTTCCTGAAAGGCGCGTGTATGGTGTGTGTGTGTGTGTGCTTTCGTGTGAATCTACGCTGAATCGTTTCAATGCAACGTGAGCATTTCGATCTCTTGATCCGACAATGCGATAAATAACGAGAAGACCGGACCGATATAACTTGTTTGCAGTTTAATTATCATGCCACGGTAATTACCGTTCTATTGGCGATATTGAAATCGAAAAATTAATTTCTCTTTTAATTAATGCATTTTTTTCAGAAGGGAGAAGAAGCATAACGATCGGTCACGAAAAGATAATAGTCGCGCAAGCGATGATAACTCTCATTTTGATATTTCGCTCAACTGATCCTTTCAGCAGCAATTCTAAATATGCTGTTAAACTTCATTCGAACATAAAGAGTAGTGACGATGATTAATAAAAGTAACACAGTGCAAGTTCATCTGGCGTTGCATTCAGGCTAATTCACAGACATTCGTTATTAATATAATTATATTATGCATTCATTTTTCTAATAAAATAATAATTCTTTTTTAAAATTATACACAATGATAAGTAACCGCGATGCTCGGTCGATTTTAGACTGCAAAGGGCTGCGAATGTCGCATTTTCGAATGTTGGATTTGCAGGCTCGGGCGCCGCCGCTCTGGCGCACCTTGACGGGTCCGGAACGGAAGATGCTGCGGCGGCAATGATCCAGAGGGTAACGGAACTTGCCCTCGGATATCCCGAAGGTCGCCTGGAGCTGCAGTTGGTCGGCGGCTACTCCGATCCGAGAAACTACTCCGAGGAATTATTCTACAATATACTTTGTACGTGGAAATGCATTTTTGGATACGATATTCCTGTTATATCGAGAAGAATATCTATAGCTCACAGAGTTCTATTTTTATTATGTATAAATTAGCGGAGATAATTATATCTGTAGCCTGCTCTTGTCTCCTATTCTTGTCCTTATTCGCAATCGTAGAGAGTTAAATTATTTACTTCGTTCAAAATAGGCTAAGAAGCTAAATAGAATAGAACTAAATTTTTATGTTACGATGTCATATTTTCTAAAAGATTCAGGATTGACCTAACGAAATTAATGCGCTAAACTTTATTCGTGGCATTGAATTACAATCGGCATAGAAACGCCCGAGTTTTTCGAATAGTTGTCAAGTCGGATAGTATCTAAAATAGGACGAAATCGCCGCCTTCGTCTGTAGGATGTTAACCGGACCGATCGTCTTCTAGCCGCATTTCACAAGCAACCGGTGGAGATCGATCTAACGCTGTGCTGCGTGGGCGAGCTGAATACCACCGTGAGAGGTGGGATTCATTGGCCGTTGATCTACGGCATCGGGCTGAACGTGAAGACGGGCGAGATCTTTCCCGCGACTTTCCCCGACAAAGGCCCAGACCAGGCGCTGAGGTGCGCCAGACAATTGACCGGGGGTCAGCAGGTGCGTGTACGCAACGTTTGCATTAATACAGCGAAAGCACTAAAAAAAATATATAGCGAAACAAAAAAGAAATTGCGACTCAATCCCGCAATCCAAATAAATAACAAATAACTAGAGTATCGATAATATATTAAGTACAATATCATTAATCGATTAAACGCGACGTGAAATTTCATTTAGCTCATCGGGATTGCACGCGTATATATTCTGTCTTTATGCACAGGTTTTGGACATATACGATTGCGCTCTGGGATTACTTAGAATCGGCCCGTTCAACTACGATCCCCTGCGTGGCGTGGATCTCTGGCTGGCGCAAACCGATCAGTTCATCCTGCAGCATCTGTCCACGTCACCGGAAGTGGAGCAACCACACTTCGTATCGCAGGTAGTGCCTAGTTTGTAACGCTGTATGCGCAACACCGTCATCGTTATAGGGTCCTCCCTAGGGAGGGAGAGGGGGGGGATAGAGAAGCATTAAGGCGACAAATCCAATCGCGCCGCGTTTCCCACGCGCCGTTAAGCAGCGACTGAAATTTCTTGTTTCAGGTGCGGGCGACGCTCAAGTACATCCAAGACAATCAATTTCCGGCCGTCACCGTCTTCCGAGATAACAGACCTCATTACTACCGTCGGGACGAAACCACCGGTGTCTGGCAGCCGATGCGATACTAAAGGGTTCGACAAGCCGCGTATTCGATTAGGGGCTTGCCGATGAACGGTTGTTCGACGAAAATTTTCGAGCGACACGAAATATTAATATTAAATTCGCGGACCGACGAAGCGTACGGAGCAGGACGATCAGTTAGTCGAATTTGGTGCTGCGCCTTCTGGAGATCGCGGTGTCTACGCCGGAGTTGTTTAAGTCCTAATGAGCCTGTTTAAGAAAAAAAAAAAAAAAAAAAAGATCGACTCGCATTTACGATTTGGCGAGCAAATTGCGGAAGTCGGCGTGCAATAATTGCAGCCCTCGTCGGCTGGCAATTATCTGTGATCGACGAGAAAAGGACGTCCGATCGGGAGGAAGCCGTGGGATCGTGTATCGATCGAAGCGGTCGTAATCGGCGCGTTGGTCGATGCCTTAAGGCCTGCTCACACCGGAAGACGTCTCGCGAGCCGTCTTTGAAAGCCAAGATGCGGATTTGGATGCATTGCCGAATGCGATTTGTAATATTTACAAATAAAATTATTAGAGAGCGCGGCTTATTCTGTTATCGTGGAGTAAGCCGTGAGGCCATTTACAAAAATAAAATGAAATAAAAACAATTTTTTAACAAACGATTTTCCGAAAATTTTAATATGCATTAATCTGCGTTGAAATACAGATAATGCATATTTTACTTTGCATACGATTTATTATATAATATATTCGATTTATTATATAATATATTCGATAATACTTTTTTCCAAATGATGTATTAATGATACATCGCAGAAAGTTTTAGATGGTTTTATCGAAATTGCTTTAGATGCATTTTTACAAAGCAGAAATCAATCAATTTGATCTTCAATTAAAGGAGAAAAAATAAAGGCAATTAACCCTTCGTGATCATGCGAGGTCCACTGGACTCCAAAAAAAAGTTTGAGGCTCTGTATCTTTAAGTTCTCATTTCAAAACGGCATTCGATTTGTGATTTACTTGAAGGTTCAAGGTATCCTTTTTGCGCCTAGACGAAGTATTGCTCCCAGTGTGTCGGTATGAGTGTAATAGCCATTCGCGTAACATCGTTTTTGCATTGGAATCATTCTGTCATCGGTGTAATCAAAACGTGACTTTTTTTATTTGAAAGTATCATACCTGTAGAGTATAGCCGTAAGTTTGTATAAAAAAAAATTTTAAAAGTTATGACTTTTTTAATAAAAAAAATTTCAAAAATTTTTTCAAAGATTTTTTAAAATATTTTAAAAATAAAATCTTCACACTGTCGCTATATTTCTATGTTCTACAATGATTGAACTACGTTTAGATAATTTTTTTTTTACTTCAAAGAAATTGAAACTGTGAACGGCAGTTAAATGCGCTGGGGTCATTTTACCCACGGTGTAATCATTCTAGAGGTATGACCACGAAGGGTTAATAATACACGCCAACAATTTTGCAGATATTAATACAGATAATTCATCCCTTCTCAGATTTAATTTTACAAAGGATACGATCTCTCTAATTAGAGATTCTAATTACTCGCGGGGTATTATGAAAAATTTCAGACGACAAAAAATTGCCACCGCGCAAGCGACTGAATCAGTAATCGAATTTCGATTTTTCGCTTGTTGGACAATTCTTGTTTTGTAACATTTAAAAAAGGATATACAACTTTTGGAAAATCTTACAAAGAAAAAGAGAGGAGCGTTTTATAAGACACACAACATGAACATCTTTCTCTTCTCTGCTGTACAGCACACACACACACACATACACGTACACTTTCTATACCTTAAAAGTAATATACATTCGCATTAGCGTGCGACGCACGACAACTTCAGTTGTGAATAGGCCTATACGTGCTGAATATATTGGCATTGTTGAATTTTATCTTTTTGTTAGATGCTTATATTATACGTGGACAACGGTCAAATTTTGATCGTTACTTATAAGATGTTATTAGTCGTACGCGATCGTTATTCCATCGTTGAACGTTCTCTCCGTATTAACTTTCTTCGTTGCCGGAGCGAGAAAATAACGACAAACTCTCATCGCGCATTTAGCTAAATGTAAACTCATTTCCACATCACAATCACATCGCAATTGTCGTATCGGATAAACAATAACGCGGTAGTTAAAGAATATCCCATTTGGCGCAAAACGCGTGATCGAAAGCACGACCCGACGCACACGCGCGAGGACACACTTGTGTCCTTTCCCGTTTCTTTCAATCGGATTGCGAAAGTTCGAGCAACGAATAATTCCGTACTTGCCATAATAAAGGGAAGAAAGTTAGACAAAAGGTACAAGAGGCGAAAGGTAGAAGAGATGATGTATATAATATTTTCAGGGTTGTGCCCGAGTCTTTCGGGTGAGGGAAAGTTCCTTTGCCTCGACGCAGTTAGTTCCGCGAGGGAAACGCGAAAATCCCTCCGAAAATTCACGCGCAGATTAGTGATCGCGTACAAGTCTCGTCGATGTCTCGCGGGAATTTTTTTTACTAAATTATGTACACACGTGCCAAAAGTGCGGCTGGATGTCTCCTCGATTGAAAACACTCGCGCGACATTTGGACGATTGAACATTTCCATGTGGTAAGATAGGTGGTTCAAGGTAAAACGTTTCCCGTTGCGTCATCGAACGCGACTCAAGAGCGCGAGACCGATTGCGAAATTGTCGAGATTAATACATAAACGCATAATAGAATTGGGCAATTCGATCACTCCGGAGATGATCGTGTGAACGCCCGACATAGATTTTTCCTATTTGTTGTTAGAAAGCACAGATCGGGCGTGCGATCGCGATCGAAGAATCAAAATGACCGAGGCCTTCCCTTACCTGTGGATTCATCGATTAAGCCGAAAGGTAATCACCCTCCGGATAGCATTCGAGAGCACAGCTCTATGGGCGAAACTAGCCGATAAAACATTTTTTTTTCATATCTCGATTACAGTTTTCACGAAACAATTCAGGACCTCAATAATTCAACGTTATTATTGAGCGTTCTCTGTTTTTTGGGACGAATACGTGACGAAGAGAAATCTTTTTTTCTCCCTCTTTTTTTTTTAAAGCTATGGTCTCGAAGCCTTGGAGTAGTGCGTAAAGGAAGGATGCGTTCAATTTTCCATTGTTCTAGTGATACATAAGCTAATTGAGGTTGATATTAATAATAACGATGACGACGATTATCATAATGATACTGCTGATGATATTTCCTAGAAAATCGAAGAGATATATTTTTACTATATTATGTAAAAGGAAAAAAAAAGAAGAGCGAAATGCACTCGTGTGACGACGCGAGGCTGTCAGGATCGAACTTGCGACCTGCTTTCCCTTCCCATTCGATCTACGCGAGTAGAAGAAGTATGGCGGGTGGTTTGCCACTTACTTTGTTGCTTCTGCCAGGAAAATATATGGCTTTTCTTGCTTGCGTCACGAAAACTTTCCCGGTGCAGCAATATAAGTTGCATATATATTTCTCTTTTCTTTTAAGTCCACCGTATCGTTCCTCCCTTTCCCCGCCCGAGCCCTTCTCCCCTTTTTTTTCACGGTAGCCTTTTTTCCCTCCCCCCCCCAACCCCTCCGTTCGATCTCTATCGCATTCTTTCTCGCGTTGCGCAAACGCAATCTTACTACATAATATTATTTGGTGATATATTTATACAATAAACGATGATAGATTAAAGCACAACGCCACGTGTATGTTATTTTATTTCGCAATACCGTATGTTGCTGTGTAAAATCGGGACGCTCGGACGATGACGGCCGCAACCGATCTTGATCTATCGTCGACCTAATGCCCACATTCTGCCGATTTGTTATGATAAATGATTCCTCGGCGTTGATCTAATCGCGGAGCTGTTTGGCGAATAGCGGGACGACTCTGTAGGAGTCAACTTGCTGAGAAACCGCTGAACAGAGGAGTGGTAACAACATCGTTAACAAAGTTGCGGACTGCTACACAGTGTGTAGCGGTAAACTATTACGTAAGTAAAACCGCCGCGAGGAGAAAGGAGCGTTCGCGCATTATCACGGCTTTATACACATTGATTATTAAATATGAAACGCGACTAATGGATATTGATTAATTGACCGACCGGGGGAGAGGGTAGGGGGGAGGGGACACTTTCATTTAGATATTCGAGCGGAAACGGAATCTGTAATAAAATAGTGTTTCGTAATTTTTGTAATTATTAATACAATACTATAAATTAGCGATTAATTACAATAATTGCTTTGTAATTGTGTGATCGACGTTTTAACTAATTGCGGAGGTAGCGAAAATTACGCGAGAAAATAAATTGAATAATTGATTGAAGGGTAAGCGATTTTGCATGCATCGTCTCACTTTATCGCGGTAAAAAAAAAAAGCCGTTTAAAGTTTGCAGACTTTTAATCACGAGATTCCGTAATTATATCGTAATAATCGGCAGAAATTTTTTGCACGTCGCGTAACTTTCAAGAACACGGCACGTATAATTTTGTTGAACGTCGAACAGCTTATGCACGTGTGTGAGTGTGTAGCCTATATCCTGTCAGGTTGCCTGAGTAGTTGCTCGATTGTCAGCGGTAAGAAACTTCCGCTTTCGCAAAGTTCGCTTTGAACGACTTACAAGTCTTCCGACATGCCACGCTTCGGCTTTAGCATATAGAATCCGAAATCTGCAGCGAGAAGATAATTTCATTGGAAGGTGATCATCCGGAAATAATATCCGTGCGCGGAATTCCGGGGCGAGTAATTTCGGGGTTTTACAGAATGTGCACCGAGGCTAAGGTCGCGACAAGAAGGTCTTTGAGTGTAGCGTCTTCCGTATACTATTTACAAAACCGTTTGCTTCACACGCCACGATAAATTACAGTTGACATTGAGAGTCGAGATTGATCGCGCGGAATAATACCGAAGTAGCGTATTTTCGGTCTATAAAGAAGTCGAAGACCTAAGCAGTCTATCGTAATCCTTCGCGTGCATTATTAAAACATAATTATAATTAACTACATCTTTTTACATATTTTTTCACTTAATTCTTCGAATATATAGAGGAAATTAAATGTAACGTAAAATTGAAACGTGAAATTAAATTTAACGTGAAACGGCGATAACGACGTATACACTGAAAACTTAATATCGGCACATTTGCGAGACTGATTCGTGCCGTAGTCCGTAAAGAATTGAAAAAAGTTTTTCACTTCTGGCGAGCAATAAAAGGCGCGTATGATCTATTATTCTATTAGAATACTTTGCATCTTCTGAATTCGAGGGGGCAGGAAAAATGAACAGAATCGCGAAAGAAAGTGAAAAGGGGACAGACTTGTAGGGAGCCGGCGGGCGGCGAGTAGTAACGGACGATGCGCGCAGACTCCTCGCAAGTGACTCGGCCCGACTCGCAGTAGTTGCCGTCAAGCATTTGGTCCGACACGGTCAGTGCCGTTTCGTCGTCGGCCTCGACGACGGCCCATTCCGCGTTTCCCTGTGTCGCGGTCGCTCCACGTTTTCGCATTTGAGGGAGGCTCTGAGCGAACGAGACCTCTTTTCTCTTCACGGTGAGTTCCGTTGACATTCAATTCAGCACATAATTTTCTATAAAATTCTCTCTCGAAGATCTTTCAAACTATAATTATAAACTATTATACACAATGTTAAAAATGACTGAATTACTTATTTGATTTTATATGCGATATGAATATGTTTTTTAAAGTAATAAAATCTCTAGATGTGGTAATTGGAAGTATTATAATATAGAAATTGTAGAAACGTATTGAGAAAAAGAATAATGTAATAGCTCATAAAAAAATTAAGTAATAATTAAATTAGAATTAAGCATTCTAACTCTTCTGCAATCCTTTCAGTGTAATTTCTAAATTTTAAATAACTTAAAAACGAGTAGAAAATAATTAAAATCTTAACATGAGCAATTATAGTATTTAGAGATTTTAACGCGTTAAATTACGTCACAATTTTCTTGAATTATTAAACGTTAAAATCCATTAAAATCTGTTGACAAAAGCAATATTGACTCTGTATTTGAATACAGCACTAAATAGTGTGTCTAGATTTGCATAAACGTGAAATTTTGTTCTACAAAATCAAGAGATTAAAGGGATCTATTATTATTTGTGGAATTTAACTTTAATATGCATTTTGTTCTAATAATATATATAATCAACGTGCATTGCGAACTAAAATTCAAAAGTACATCTGTGCGTCGAGTTGTATACGCGTGGTTTTAAATTCTCCCTTTTATATTCATGAGCGAGTGACATCGTTACGGAACGTACGAGTGTATTTGCACAGTTCTCACAATAGTAATTCAATTACATCGAAAGCAATTGCTCCTTGTAAATGAGACTGAGAAGAAGAAACATGTTTACAAACCAGACGAGGTGTGTAAAATATGATGCATAATTGATGTTTTACATCAATATATGTGAAAGATATAAATTCAATACTGGATTTTTTTGGTGATATATAAAATTGAATATTTTGGTATATAATATATAAATTTGGAAAAATATGTATAAATTGAATTAGGACAAGAAATAAATAATAAAAAATTAACAATTAAAATTAATTTTTTCCTTCTCTGTCGAATTGAAGAATTCCTTAAAAAAGCGTTTCCAAATGACGGATTTGCCAGAAAAGTTATTTACAATTTTTTATTGAGTAACTATATATAAATGTAATAAATTTCTTTTGTCGTAACACATATATGTTTTGTATTTCTAAGCGTTTTAATTTTTAATATTTGTTAAATAATTCATATTAATATCAATAAGAAAATGAAATAATAAAAATTTTTTAAATATTGAAACCTTCGAATCAAAAATAGCATAAATAATTTCCTGAGAAGTCCTTCAACTTACCCTTCTCGCTTGAAGATAGTATTAATTTCAGCGTACGCTAATAATCGATATTTCTAATCGTCCCGTGAGGCAAGAAGAAAATCGGGGAAAGCGGATTGTCGGTTGCTAGCGAATCGTAATATTGTTTGCCGGTGCTTGTCTTAGCTAATCGCGAATGTTCGTGTCGCAAGATCGTAATCGACCGCTCCATTTCTTGGAAACGCGAACAGGAAGCTCTTCTTAATTTAACTTCCGCTTTCAACCGGCATATTCTCGGAAGAAAAGTGAAGGTTGATGAACGAAGAGCGGTTTAAAATGTCAGCGACGAGGCCGCGCTAGGAATGCGCTATTTTTAATTAAATAGAATTATAGAGCATATTCAATAAGCTATATTTCTGCGTTTCCTATATTAAAAATTATAAGAAGAATACCTAGACGCTATTAGCGTCGTTTAAATTACAGCTCTAAATTATAACTCTGAATTGCAAATAAAGAAACAAAATTCGTCACAAATTTTATTAATTAATTTTACTAATTAAATTTTATGCAAATAAATAATAATTTTAGGTTTCATATAATTTCCAATCAACGCCATTTTAAAGCATTTTAATTTGAAATTTTTTTAGGCAAGGTTGTTGGAAATTTAAAAAATCACCAAAAAAGACGAAAAAATGGACTTGATTAAAATTTAATAGAAGAAAAAGCAACTCTCCAGCTTGACCCAAGAAAATGTCGCACAGTTCCGAAAGCTTTTATATAAATATAATGAATATAATTGTATGCTTCTTTAAATGCGCACTCGCATCGTACAAAGTCCGAGAGAGAAACAAAGAGTGCCAGATAAAATTCTTTCCAAGATACTACTCTCTTATACATAATTTTCTAGCGTGTTAGAACAGTAGAATAAATTTCCATCTGATCTCCGTAGTGCGAACATACGGGAATTAATGCGGCGGGAGTTTGCGTAAAAGGGCGATAATATTTTTAACATACCTACCGCACGAAGTGCAATCTTGAGCTAATGCAATCTCTGCGCTAATGCAATCTCCGCGATTTGACGGGCGTGCGAATGGAATTATGTGTGGCGAAATCTGTGCAGGGGAAGCGCATTGTGTGGATATTGTGTGGATGCTGTATACCTCCGAGTGTAAATCGTAACGGTCGGTAATGGTTCCTCGTGATTTAATAGACTTTTCCCAAAATGTTTCTCATCTCTTACCTCACGCGTATAAATGTCATATTAAATAATTTACAACTCAAATAATCACGTAAGCTTATCCTCAGCGAAATCGTAAGCGAAATGTCGAGAATATCGTTACAAGAAATTGTGAGTCTTTATAGTAAAATGTTTTCATTAACTTCTCTCGCCTAATATTTAATAATATGTCTTATATTAAATATTAAATTTGTAAAGAAAAAATTTTAATTTTTTAAAATATTTCACGTTTGAAAGAATATATTAGAATATATTATATTGTAACATACATTTTTAACATTTTCTCCACATATTTTTGTGGCACACACTTATATATAGCGTAATTATATATATATATAGCTTAAAATTTTTCATCACTTAAAATATTCTGTTTGGAAGAGTGTATTAAAAATATATTTTTGATATATACTTCATATATTTTTATATGACATGTACATATGATTCTCTTTTAGAAAAAACGATTATGAAATGATTATTTTTCTAGAAATTTGTACTGATATTTCGAGATGGACGTTGATGTTCTTCACGATACACTTTAAAAAGTTCATCGGTCAAATCCAGTCGCGATAAATTTATTTGGTCGCGATCACATTTCAGCCGATTGCGAAATGTACGATTTTGACCTTTATTCCGATCGCGGGGGCGACATTCTATTAAACGTCTCTTGACCCCTATCTTTTTATCTGCCAATTTATCGACGCGTCGCGTAACACGATGATCGCCCATTCTCTCGCGGAGAGCGCGATATTATTTTTTTTTTATCCCGGTCATCGACATTGTGTTGTGTATCGCGAAGGGGACGATTATTGCCGTCGACGGTTCGATCGTCGTATAGAAAGAGACGTAATTCAGCCGTCACAAAGTGGAACGCGTCGATCCGAGATCGATCGGCGGCGTCGCGTCCCACACCCTCCCCCCTCCCGAAGTACGGTAGCCTAGTATAGAGGAGCTTGGCCAGAGAATGACGTATTTAATCGGATTAAGGTGAACCTCGCGACCGCCGTCTACTTTCTTCTCTCCGAGGCAGGAAGCGAGTAATCGACTTCCAAGAGCGATCTCACCCCTCGGGTTTATTGCGGCGCATCTTGTAGTGCGCCCCGTTGCGCTCCTCTATACTTCACCTTTTCTCAAGGGAAACAGCCAACAGCCGATGGCGTATCAGCTGTCGCCACTCCTTGGCGAGTTATTAGCGATCTAAATACCAATGGTAAAATGTCAATAAAAGACGATGAAGGAGGACTCCACGATTGATTACGTTACTCTGACTCGATCAAGGATAAGCGAATATTTCTACTCGAAGATAAAGGCGCAAAGCGTTCAGAAAAGTAAAAAGTAAGGGGGAGAAGGAGAGAGAATTAATTAATTAAACTTATTATATTATCTATATTTATATCATTTTCTCTCCAAGATTATAATCTTATTGGCAGACGCTTTAAATACTTCAGGGTCGATTTTTCCCTATTAAATTGTCAAAATACTAATGATCTTTGCGAGTTATGAACGAGATAGAAAACGAAGTCAACTTCGTGAATTAAACTTCTGCTAAGTAATTAAATGACAAAGAACCTTATCATTTAATGCTGAATGAGCTTAATTCTAATTAAAGGTTTAATCGCTAAGCTGTTTGACCTTGAATATCAAGAAGTTGGCTTAATAATTGATGGCTTACCGAGAAATTTTCCGGTAAAAGTTTACGATTCTCGTTAACGATGGATGTTTGGAACAATTGAATTTATGTATTTTTGTATTATGTTCATTGAATGATTTTATTAAATAATTTTATTTAAGTTTATTTGATTTATTTCTATAATATATGAATTTATTTTAAATAAATTCTTACTGAAGAGGAATAGTTTTAAAAACAATATCTTTGAATTAATTTTATATGTAAAATAATTCCTGTTGAATATTATAAATAAAAGATTTAAAGAAGAGCCAAGAAACTTAGTTAAAGATAAAGTTAAATTAATATCTATAATAATAAAGGATTGTACATTTCACGGTTTATTATGCGAACAGGATAGTTGTAATAATAGTTTTCTCTTACAACAGTAGTAGGAAAAGTTATAGACATTTTGACCTATAGATCTATAGACAGTTAACTTCGCGGAATTCTGAAGGAAGGTTTTGTCTGGTAATGAAATGGAGTCTGCCGGGTATGAAGCTGTTACCTTTGTAAGGCTGATTACAGATATCTTACTTAGAGAGAAATTCTCTAAACACGTTCGATACCCTGTCGTGTATTTTTAATACTATCCGCCACGATCCACATTCTCATTTTTAAAGTTCTTATTTCACCTTTCAAATTATTAGGTGTAACAATGTGCAAAAAAAAAATTAATTGCAAAAAATATAACTAGCTGTTCCGTACGTGCAATTTTAACGAGCTTACTCCCTGAAAATGATTTTTCTCGAAATTATTGCGCGCTGTGACCCTTCAGAGTGCTTTCAGATAATTAGAAATTATTTTTAATGACTTGAATAA